TGCAATGTTTCTTTTAATATACTACTGTCGTTAAGTCTCAACATCTTAAAGAATTTATTAATGCATTGAATGATCAGTATTATATTGAATATTATTTGTTTCATATAATATATTTAATATATTAGATTCCTAAATAAATTTATGGCATCTGTGTGATTATATGTGTATAAATGTAGACAATTCCAACTTAAATAAATTCCGACATTCTTTCGTAAATTATTATCAATGATTGTAGATATGTTGTTGACTCATCGTATTGGAAATCGCCAGGAAAAATGTTGGCCCATGCTTTTCAGCATTACCGGAAGAAGCTTCGGATGACTAACTCGCTCTATTCCTGGCCGTACGTTATACACTTGTATCCAATGGGAAACTGGGCTAGAACGTACAAAACATTAATCCGTCCTCGATGGCGCGTCATAAACTTTTCACCTTTTTCCACTTTTTCGTTAAGTACAAAATCCCTTAAATTATTACGTTGAATTTAAAGTTCTCGTACCGTTTAGCGTATTATCGTCTTATACATACAGCGAATTAAAAAAATGTACGATAGTTCTAATCTTGAAACTTGCTTTATCTAAACTAATGTACTAAACATAATTAGTGTGTTTATTGAAATTAGATTTTATTAGGCTGTCAGAAACAGAGCGATGATAAAGAGTCAGAAAATCTAAGATGAGCAACGTTACAATAAAACTTTCGATTTTTAGAATTTTTATTTCTTTTCCCTTGTCTTTTTTCTATTTGTTGCGAATTTGTGTGTCAGTATTTCTATAGCGGAAACGAAAGTATCTTTAAATGGATTTTTAAACTGTAGATCACAATTCACCACCTTTCGCGTTAAACGATCCGATTGAGATTGATCGTTGACATGGACCAGGTAGTCACGATTCATTTTCACTGCTACCGGTAGCTCCAACATTGTGGCCAGGTTTTTAGCAATCTTTCTCGAAGAAGCTTTTGCCAGATCCCTTGTGGCGCCACCGCTAATAAGATTCACGAATTCGAAATTTGAGATCTCTTTTTTTCTTAACTTGTATGCTGATCTGTTTATAATTTAATGTATGTGTTAATGATTGTTATAACAAATTAAGGAATGGATGTGATTCAACTTCACTAAAATAGAAGTCGTGCAAACGAGAGATGAAATAAAACTTGTTTCATTCCTAAGGAAATTGAAAATCCTTTTTCTCCAATACTATTTCAGTGAATAGTAATTGTTTCATTGATCATTAATCACTATTAGTGCATAGAGGACGTTTGAATCAGGGTTATTTCTTCGTGTCGGTATGGCAGTCGAACGTGAGACACAAGTGTGCACATCAAGGAGAGATCTCTTCTTCGTATATCTCGACTGTGCTAAAACATTAAGTAGAGCATCAGCCGATAATATTGCGTCCGAGCTGTGCTTTTCAGCTACTGGATACGTTGCCTGCTGTTTACATTGGATGGGATCGTTATTTTCGTCTCATTTCTCTGTTTCTCGGGAGCTGGCAGCACGAAATCCGTATACCTTTCAAATGTGAGTTGGAACAGTGGTTAAAGTGCATTACGGATCAAACATTCAGTAATTATATTTTAATTGTATTATATAGACTTCATATCATTTCTTTACCGAAACCTACAGGAATAATAATTGCCTTGATATAAAGCTATAGGTTTATTCAATAAATGAGAGACACGATTATACACATAATAATGTAATATTATAGTTGAAATTGGAAAAAATTTATATATTTCTTCCACTGCTTTCACGCAATAATTTTATTTTAATCTTTATTCTAATATTGCTCCCTATATAAACTATACTTAATACAACATAGCAAAACCGCACCGCATTGGCTCGTTATAAGAAGAAGAAGAAGAAGACACCAATTAGGCAAATCCGTCTGCTGTACAATTCGTCATATTCTACAGAGGCAAATCAAATCCGTAAGAATAATTCAACAGTTCCGGACAAGATTTCTTCAAGACGGGATACTCCTCGTTATCCACCACTTTAACGAACAGGCACTCGTCAAGACTTTTAATCTGTTAGCATTACACACCAGCTAATAATGATCTCGATGCATAGACGTCGCATCGATCTGTCTGGAATATCAGACCGACCCTTCCACGAATTGCTATTCGGATTCGAGTAACCCTCCAACTCGAACGATAATTAGTTTTCGAAACCCAGCCAAAGCACCAGTTGCCTAGTTTCCGACGGAAAGGAAACGTTCTTTGTCTCAGAGTAAAACAATCCACGGACGCTTTAATTCGCTCTACTTCCGCCGGTCGGACCGCCACTGCCGCCGTTTCGCCGTCTTTATTTCGTCTTTTCCCGTCGCTCGTTTTATCTGGCCAAACCCACATCGGCTCCTTTCGAGGATCCTCCAGCCGATTGCTCCAGGCGGGAGTTTCCGTTTTCGTGAAGCATTGTACAAAGAGACTGAGGTTCCGGACATAGTGATGGAATCGAGTACCTTACAAGTAAATCCAGACAATGACTAATTGAATCTGAACATCTCATTTCACGATATAAAACAGGTATATAGTATAGAAACATTCGAATTCAAATGAGATATGTCTTATAAGCTTTGACTTCTTCAGAACGTCATGACTATCTTCAATGTCCATTTCTCCAGTGTTCTATTCTTAGATTACGCTTCTAATTATTTGTAAGTAAGTCAATACGTTTCTAACACCTTCCTATGAATAAATATTATAAATCTTAAATTAAAAAGTACACATTCTATTGGAAACCAGTATTTCAAGCACATTTAGTAAAAGATTTATTCCATGTAAGATTCGATCATAAATTTACGGAACGGAAGTTGAATGTCGGAATTGTCTCAGATTTATGTGTATCGAGCTTTATCCCATCTCTACCGGGAAATCTAGTCACTAGAGAAATGCTAACCGTTGCTCTCGTTTCCTGGATAAAGACGCTCGTTTTGCCAGCAGTTTGTCTCCGCCGGATTCCTCCTAGAATCCTCCAGAGAATTTCGGGACTGTCGCGTCGCGCCGCGTTGCATCCGTGCAGCTTCGTTTCTTCTTATAGACTTCGAATATTATACGCTTCCCCGGACGCTATCTATTCTGTCGTCGCGTTTACACGTGGTTGGGGCCGCTTTCGTTATCGGCAAGGGCGAACTAGGGAAAATCTTATGGTTTACGCTTCGCCGAGGTCTACATCGGATATCCACAGATCTTCCAGCGGTCAGTCAACTCTCTTCGATATTGCATGTGCAAACTCACATCCAGACGTAGATATGACCAATGAGCTTTTAGTTGAGCTTTCACAGTCGACAAAAAAAATCATCTTTCGTCATCTACTTCCTTCAGGTTTATGGATGATGTATATAATAAAACATGACAAACGAGCATTATGTACTTCTTTTGACATACAATTAATATTTCAATGGACAATCGTTATCGATCTTCAATCAAAAATCAATTGTTCGTCCTAGTCTTGGACTTTGAATTTATGTTTCTTCTTTCCCCCCTTATTATCAAATCGCTTCTTAGATGTACTTACAAGAAATAATACTTTGCCTCTAAAAATTTTCTCAAACAGCAACTGGTTCTCAACAAAGTGCTTATAAGGAACGATTTCCTTAAAAATATTCTTACACGGAATAATTCTTTGTCTTTGCTCGAGCAACGGTCTCGTTCTTTGCGATATACTCTCGACTAGAAAAGTCCATTGCCTCGTCCCCCCGGACGTACTTTCAGAGCATGATTTCCTCGATACTTTGAAACAGGAAAATTCCTGTCGAGGGAAAAGGGAGGATCGTATTGAAAAGTAAAACAAGCTAAACTTCTCCATACTCGACTCCGTTCAGTCGATCTTTGTCGTTCCATATCAACTCGATAACAGTTTACTCCGTTCGACTCCAGGTTCCATGATCGTTCGCGAGTGCTGGTTTTCCACAGTTTATTCTTATTTGATGTGAACATTCGCTAAGTTTATTATCTCGATTTGAAGAACAATTTATTAATGCTAGACTTACGATGCAATTTCAGCGAACAGCTCAAAAACCGACCTCGGAATAGTTCAGAACTTCAGTAAACAGTCCTTTAACTCTATCCATGAATATTAACAAGCTACACCGACGAAATTGACGTAACTCTAATCAGCTTCTTATCTATTCTACCTATCATTCGTAGAGTATCAAAATTTATGCGCGAATCTCCTCCTATTTCATCATCGACTAGTTGAAAGTCGGATTTTGCTCGGATTGCTCTCTAGAGCAGCCGCGGAAGCGTCGAGGAGTCGGCGCTGCCGAACGGCGAGAGGACGTCAAGCTATTCTTAAAATAGGGCTCGACTTCAACAAGAAGCGAATGAACGAGAAAAGCCGATACACGCGTGGAGAGAAGGGCGAAGACGAGCCGAGTCGACCTGTTGAACGGAGTAAGACGGGAAAGCGCGTACGAAAAGAGAGGAACGCGTAGGCACGGGCACGAAGAAGACGGAGGAAAGAGAGGGAACGCGCGGCGTGCCTCGCGGGTCGCCGGCTCTTCTTCAGGGTCCGAGCTTCGTCCGAAACGAAGCGCCTACGTAGCGCTCTCCTTCTTCTCTTATGAGACCGAACCGTTGAGGACGACGTCTCGCCGAACCGTTCGTCTCGTTCGATCGGTTCATCACATTTCACATCGCGACTCTTCTCGTCCTCATCTCGTTCTCTCTGCTCCTCTTTCTTTTTGTTCTCTTCCCGCCCTTCCTCGCTCGTTCTCATAGATCTCTATTCATATTTGCTTCTTTCTCGATCTTCATATTTATTGTCCGTTTATTCTTCCTTCTTGTTTTCTTTTTCTTTTCTTTGGGCACGATAAGGTTTCGGCGTCACAGTAAAACGAATGCAGTTCACGCTCCGGGTGGTAGTGCTAGTGCTTGTGGTGTCGGTGCTAAAGTGGTGGGTGCTGGTTGTTCGGTGTCGTCAATAGTGTCGGTGGTTGATGGTGACTGGTGAGAACGAATCTCGCCCTTAGGGTTCTTTCGCTTTTACTCGCTAGAAGAGGAGAGACCGAGATCGTCGAATGGCGTCCTACAGGAGCTACGTAAGTACTACTCTACGTGCTCGAGAGCTTTTTGCATACACGATGGATACTTCGTTTATGCGAAGTTGTACAGTGTACCTAGTGCGTGGGTACTCGTGTAGCTGCGCGAAAACCGTGGCTGCGATCAATGATTTAGGGGATCCACGGGGTGAATGTAATTTTACCGGTGGTTAATTGGAAAGTTCGTTTCGGCCGGAGCGAAGCGTTGTTTACCCGGCCCCGGTGCCTTCATTAAATCGACGCTGTACGCGAAACGATGCGACACGAAGTTATAATTGGTGTTCCGCTGTGTCATCGCAGGAGACGAATTTTCGAGAACGCGATGCTGAAAAAGAACCAACGGAACCGGGATAGATACCCCGCCATGACGAGACACGTTCACCCTACCGTTATCAAGCGATGTGGACACCAGGGTAGCCAGAAAACAATCAACTCTCTACTATCTGATTGAAACTTGCGTTTTAGTATTGATCTTGATGACCGACATGATTGCTAATGTTCATTTTATCGCGTACACATTATCTTCTATAAGTATTGAAACAAGTAATTCCAATACGATATAGTTCATTACATAGTAAATCTATTTAGCATTTAAATAATCGAACTCCATAATTTAAATCATAAGAGTCTGACACAGATAATCGATCTCGTTGAGCTTGTAGAAGACAAACATGCTGGTCTCTTTCTTTAATCCACTTGACGCGAAGGGTCGAGATGATGTTTGGTATTTATTTCGCTTGGCCCGGATATTAATTCGTTCATTATTGGTCTCACTTCGGACGTGAGCTATTCTTGATCTGGCTGTCGACAGTATCGTTCGTCCGGTCTGTTGTTGAACTGACCGATTTTCTTGACGATTCGTTGAGTTACAAAACGTTTGTACGTTATATCACATTCAAAAATCATTGAAATCGAAGAGCTGGACTTTTATCTGCAATTTTATCAACTAACTTGGAAGTATTTATGATAAATGAGTATTCTGGACGTATCTAGTCAGCGGATGTCGACCTGATGGTCGCAGTTCGCGCGCAATCTGAACACAGACTAGCCGCGTTTTAATTACGAGATGTAAATGAGGATCCATTAACGTTATCGTCCAGAGGCCGTGGACACGCACGAACTGCTGTTTTACACGTTCCTATGTTTAGCAAATGTATATCAAATTTAAGACTGCTCGTATCGCTACTCATGTCGATGACACGTCCACTGTTTCTTTCCATGGATGAAGTTCGCTCGCACGTGTTACATATATTCGCGCTCGAAGAGTCGAAAACGCTGGCCTCCCTGTTACAGTAGATACAAAGACTATTGGACAGTGTCCAATAAATTCATGCCGCGTGAATTCATCTTATTGCACGTGTTCATCAAGAATGCGGCTGTGCGCCGAGTTTTTCAGTTTTTCTTAGCAATGATAACAATATTTCTAACATAAAATTTAGTGCAATATACAGGGTGGACCACAGCCGTTCTACTACAACAGAATGATCTAAGCTGATCTCACTGCGTGAACCACTCTGAATTATGTTATGATTTTATACACAGTCTATAATCACTATAATATATTATTCTACAATGCATATTCTGAAATTCAAATTTTGAAATACACAGTTCCATATACTGCAGTCTTCTTAATTTATTCCGTGATAAAAAATGTAATTTTATCTCCGTTCAGATAATCTCACTAATAGTTGTAGAATAAAAATGTGAGTTATAGACCGGCAGACCCATTCGTAAACTATCAGTAGACTCTGCAGTAGATACAGAGTGCGTGGTCAGACGTGGATCGTCGTAAGCCGACAATAATACATAGACCGGGCTGAGCGCAGCCAGGTCCGGGAGGAGTAAACATTTACCGTAGGAACTCGGACTCAGAGCACGAACGAATTCCGGGTGCGCACCTCTCGGAAACGCGTTCATAGGGCTCAGGTCGGCTGTGTTGTGGCTAGCAAAATTAGCTGGGTCTTCCCCAGACGACGACGACGCCGACGTCGCCTGTCTGCCGGCGGCGCGGCGCTCTGCCGCAGCCTTTCCGCTATGCCTACGCCACGAATACGAATACGGCCGCGTTGCAACACGCATCGGACGCGATATACGCGGGGTGTAATTTCGCCAACTAGCGCATGGCTTAAAGTTCTTATGGCTAATTTTTTTTTTACAGTCACATTTTTCTTGAATATATTTGTTAGCACACAGTTGATTTATCAATTTTAGTAAGTAAGAAGGTTTCTGACAATAGAATCTTTTTCTGAAATTGTTTTTTACCTGTTCACTTGAAGTACATAGTATGTACGAAATAAATAGCAATTCTGTGAATTTCAAGTTATCGGATTAATTATTCAATCTTTTAAATGTAATCATGTGCAAAGTACCGCAGAATGCGCGACTTTCCTCTGAGAAAATCTTCCATGTCTTTCACTTTTTTTCCAACCGCTGTTATATCTTGTATATAAGCATAACCACCGCATGTAAAATTGGAGGTGACGGTCTTTCTTACTTTCAATCACTTTGAAAATATGAGTCGAACGCTGCATATACCTATTTGGTGTCAAGTTTCAAAGAAAGCTGTCAGGCCAAACGATCGCCCTCTCTTCCGAGGTTTTCGTTGCGAAGCCTGATAAAGAATATCCCCGGACATTTCAGCCGACAGCTTTAAGAAAGCTCTCGGGGGAACGATCAGTTCTGGTCTCGTCCGATAGGTTTCTTTAGACACGGGGAGCTGATCCAGGAGGAGTACGAAATATTCTATCGTTTTGAAACTTTCTAAAGTGAGAAGTGGTCAAAGAGGATGAATCTTGATGCTGGGTTTTACCACTGGCTTGAAACTCGAAACCGAAATTTATCAACTTGGTAGTTGCTTTCCCTCGGCGCGTGTTTTTCTTGTTGAAATGAATCTAAGTATCCGCTCACTACTTCTTATAAACTCTTTTATGAATTATGTACAATTTTATGTTTAGCTTTTTTAAATTTTATGTTTAGCTTTTTTATGCTCGACATAAAATTGTTTCATTTTTTTTCATTTAATAACGTCGAGACTAGTTCCTTTTTCCATACTCCAAACGTTCACGAAGTTTGGCTGGTACAATTGAACGTAGCACTTTTTTGATCGAATCTATTCCAAACTTTGTCATCTAATTGTAAACGTGACATTTAATTGCGTGGAACGGTGACTTCAGTGGAATTATTTTACGTAATAACGACAATTTCGTCGCACGACGAACATCTCTGTAACTCTTTAAGTACACGATGCAAGATACGTTGCCGGCGACGCGATGGTACCAAATGATAAATTTAGCCGCTGCACAACGTGTTTGCGTTCCACTTCCTAGATGTGAAATCGAACAAGTTGGTTTTTAAGCTTCCGTCCCCTGACATCTGCTCGTACGATGAAGTTTTGAGCAAACTTCAAATATCCGAGTCGTCCACCTCGTAAGCGGAATCCCAGAATAAAAATATTTAATGGAGAATTCGTCTATGCTTGTCTATATTAATTTTGCTACGTTTTCACAAGTATGTACCATCTAAATTGCATAATTAAAATATTTAAATGAGGCTATGCGTAATTTGGAAGTAGGTTGAATTCGTGAAGAAGATATGAAGAGTGGGATAAAGAGCGAAAGGGGTTGATATGGCTCGTGTTGAAGATAGAGAAAAAGATTTAATGGCTCTCTTGAATATTTCAAGACAGGTTGTTGCCACGGCAAAACGTTACTGCGGGACGATTTAATTGAGCGTTCTCCTCTTACCCTCTCAACGCAGCCGACGCGCAGCCCCTTTGGAGAAACGTCAACTGGAAATGCATATGCAGCGCTATGCACCTGATGCAGACTGTTATTAAATAGAGCTCCTCAAATCGCTTCGACGTTTGCGAGATTTGTTCCTCGAGTATGGTTAAAATTACAGCGTATAAAACGATGCGAGATGCACTCTCAGTGAGCGAAATTCGTATGAACGCACATACATGCACTCTGCCTTCAGCATTGATTCTTTCTGTGATTTCTCAATAATCACGTTAGCAGTAACATGCGACGTTTGTTTTCAACAACTTGAAGTGCACTCGACTGTCTTTTTATTGCTTCAATTGTGAGTGCACTTTTTGTTATTTTTTAATCTATTCGTAGCTGGTGGTTTACTATCATTTTTTCTCCAAGTTATTCATTACTTCGTACTACAAACTCAGAATACTTAATTCCTTATACAAAAATAATTTGATTCTCTTCAAAATGATTTTATGAAATCTAAATCTTTGTTTGTAATTTTTTCGTGTAAACTGGAAAATGAGGAAAAATTGAAAACGGTTTATTCATCGATGCTCGCCTCAAAATGGATTTAGTTTATTTGGAACATCACGTGAAAATAAATACAAACATTTATCTGTAATTATTAGCGTCAAATAGTAGTTTGTCACACGACCTTCCCGGCATACGGCGGTCTTGTAAATTCCACGGGATGGGATGAAATGTGTGCGATTGGGATCAGGCGCGGGTTATCGGAAACACCTGTATCCGATGCCAGTGTCGGGGCATCAAATGTGGATGCGACCTGACTCGTTAGTCGGTTATGCATCGTCGGTGTTCAACATGAGCACAAAGCACTGGCCAAATACTGGTTAGCCTCTCGGCGAACATAATTTATTGCCGCGGCGTGGCGCAATGAAAAGCCCGGGCATTATCGCGATGCCGCTTTTATCACGAGCCCTTCTCTATCTCCCTCTCCTATTATTAGCGTGCAATTTGTCGCTAGCTAAGTCCGTGAATGAGCTTAGAGCTTAGAGCATTAAGGGATGAATATACTCTCAGAAAAGGTAGTTCGTTTCGTTTGTTAAGTTTATTGACCAGAAATTAGAAATTTACTCAGCAATCTGTTGAACCCCAGGTTTAGAATCAAATGTAATAATTCTTGAACTCAAGTAGATACCAATGATCAAAACAGGGTAACACCAGGAATACTAGGGATACGATGAGTAGATAGAGCCATGTGTCAAAATGAGTAAGAACGTTTTT